GAAATGCTAATACAAATATTCAGTGAAATTTTCATGTATCTACAGTTATTCGTTTTTGAATTACAACAAAATAAAGAAATCACTACATGAGAAATCGAGTGAATATCCTATGTTGTAAAAATTTGAATTTCAAACGCTCATAAAAATTTAATTTGACTTTCTTATTGACATTTTTTTTTGATAATGGTAGATAATCTTATAAGGAATCTTGTATTACATTTTAAAATCTTAGATTTAAAAAGAAAAAGTTTTATGAATTTTTAACTCAAAATAATTTGCTAATTTTCGTGGTTTTCCATATTTTGTCAATTTTTGAACTTTAAATGCTTATAAAAAAAACTGTGACTAAGGATTTTTAATATTTTTCATCTGCCTTTGAAAAAATATACTAGGAGCCTTCTATTAAATTTTCAAGTTTAACCAATATATAAAATGTTATTGATATTTCTAGAAAAAAAACTAAAAAAGAAAATGGAAAATGAAAATGTCCTTAAACAGTTCAAAATAAATCAAAATATTTTGAAAATATTATCGTCTATAGAAAATGCATATATAAACAATCAGTGAAAATGTCGTTTATCTACCGTCATTTGTTTTAAAGTTACACCAAAAACCAAATTCAATTTTGTGAAAAAACAACAACCTTGTCTGTACATCTTATGAATTTTTAAACAAATTATGTGCTGAAAATTGTGTAACTTTTGTGGAACGACTGTGGGGAAAAAAACAAGACATAGAGGTGGCTGACTGTATTTAAGTCAAAATTTTTCGGACGACAGACTTTAATAACATAATATTATAATATAATATTATGCAGTTACCTCCATAAAATATGTTTAATATTGAACTAAAGTCTTTATTAATTCAGCTACAAGAAAATTAAAAATGTGTTACAATAATAATAATAATAATTTAATCTACTTTTCAATTGTATATAATATCCAGTAGTCGTTTAAACGATACAGATTAATTCTAAAATAGTTCAACAATGAAAAAAAAAAAACAAATAAATAAAAACATCGGTAACAAATTGTTATTAATTATTAACTGTGACTTAAATATATATTATTTAACTAGGTATATATATAATAATGCATGTAACATGCGGTGTACTCGAGTGTGTCGCAACGTTGCTTATGATTTTTTAATTATCTTTGTGCTTGGAATAAAACAATACATTAACCAAGAAAAAAAATACCAATTATACATTACGTTTCCGGTGTATAATAATTAAATAATATGCTGAAAATATAATATTATGTACGCTTTGAATTTGTCTGGAGTCGGTTTATTTTAGAGTGAGACATTATAATATGATTTATTTACCGTTTGCGTACCTATTTACTATTATGTGTATTAGCATTGTAAAAATTAAATCGACTCTCAAAAGTATACGTCACGACCGTGTCGTGGTTATAGAACTATGGAGCTTAATATTATTCATTATATGGGTATTTGATAACGATTATTATTGACACACTATGACAATATTTTGCCGTAGTGTATTTATGAGAATAATATTATTGAAGAGAATCGAGTGTGGAAAGAGTGTGGTGTCTGTAAATTCGACGACGTTCCGTCGAGCCCCTTGCGGTCAGACAAAAATAATATAATATTTTATAGTTAATAATAATATACATGGTAAGGTATCTTTTCGTTTAGAATTCACAACATATTCGTTTCGTGTACATATTGTTTTATGTAAAGCAATAAGACTAACAAACATAGTATGTATAAATATATAGAAGCACACTCGCTCACACGTACACACGCATATTAAGATATATAACCGCTGTGTGCGTGCTCAGCGGAAACTGTGCGTTTTTTTAAATCAGTATTTTGTACTCTCAAATAGATAAGAAGATTCTAACAACGAGCTAATCAAGGCACCTAAATTCCAATTATTACTATTCGTAAAATTAAACAAATTAAAAAAAAGAAAAATTAAATAATATTACAATAACAAATAAACTAAATCTATGTTGTACGTCATTTTCCTTATCGTCTAATTACGTAATCTAAACATGAATAGATCTCATAATATATTTTTGTAAAAAAAAAAAAACAAAAATGTATTAAAATTTTATCGAAAAAAAAAGAACATCACAAGTTCATTGCGAAATTTGTACAATTCAATTACTCTCAGCCGTCAACTAGCTTATAAATTCATTTTAAATCAATACAAATCAAAATCATTATTATTATTATTAAGTATTCATTTATTTATTATAATTTTTTTTTTTTTTCATATAAACGTAAAACTATTATCACAATCAGTCGATTTGCCCCTCATAATATTTGAAAAATAAACATCATAATATTAATTTATTGTATTTATCGTAAACTCCCGTGCAGTGGGTACGGGCATCATCTAGTGTGTAGGCGTCCGCTGCAGCAGTGTATATGCGGTCTCTCCGGTGGTGAAATCTCGCGTATTACATTATTATTGATACAAAATAATAATATTATATTATTTATAATAACGATTTGAAGGAGCTATAAAAAAAATGATGTCGCGGTCCGGACCGAGTGAACGAGACGAACGAAAAAATAATAGCGCAATGCCAAAACATTTCCGGAAAATTACGATTACCGTTTGGGAAATAATATCGGGTTTATTTTTAGAGATAAGAGGTGGCGTACATACTTATTTATAATTTGCCTAATATATTATGTATAATATATAAATTAATGTTATATTATTACTACACTAAAACGTTGTGAACATAGTATTATTACGCGTACAACGACAGAGTTTGTTTGCCCATTCGATTAGGACGTAAAATATTAAAATATAATGAAACCATTGATTGATACGAAACTTAATAAAATTGCATGTCGACAAAAAATTACCATTTTAGTATGAGAAGTGAAAATAAAAAAATGATAACACAATTGTTACGGTGTTGAAGATACTTGAATGTACGCTTATAATATTATTGTGATACCTATTAATGTGTGGATTCCGAGTATGCGTTATCGGGGGGTCGTAAATTTAGAACAAACCTAAAATTAACTTTCAAAATATATTATTACTGGCTGCTTTTTGCGACTGAAGAGTCTAAGACTCTTTTGCTTCAAAAAAAAAAAATAAAAACAAAACAAAACAAAACACGATAACCTCGCCGACCCAGGGTGAGCTCTCCCGAGAATAAGTTATTCTACTACTGTACATAATAATAATAATAATAATAATAATAATAAAAATAATAACGCACTGCGATATTACACTGTTATAGGTACATTTATATATTTTAATTTCGTTTTAAAACGATACGAAAATTAACAAAATCACGACGAATTACAACATTATTGCTATATATTAGTGAACACTACATATTATGTTATTATCATTATCATTAAAACACGTTGTGTTTATATATAATATCATAGGACATATAGGTATAACAGTATAATAATATTATATAAATTACATATTACATAATATCTGTTATGCGCATTGCGCGTAGGAGAGACGAGACAGATTAAGTCATCGCAGACGTAGGTACAATAATTGAGTAGTATAACGACGTGTTTTAATAATAATAACAATATATTATAACATAATACGTGTATATACACGCGTTCAATAAATTATCACTAGGTTTTTTTTAACACGTAACATACTGTTATGATTATTACACTTGTACATCATAATTTTTTATATTGTATTAGATTATCTACAAAAATATTATTATTGCCCGCGTTTCCTTCACACATTTTTTTCGAGACGAATAGAAAACAAAACAAAAAAAAAATCATTAATTTACTCGTTGATTATATATTATACTATATTATGTATATATATTTATATTATATTGTATTTTAATAATTGCCTAATTAATAGTCGTACAACAATAATAGTGTCTTAAGCCCGACGCGCGTCGAACAAGTGGCAGGACGCACCCACGTACCTTTTTTTTTCTACAGAGTTTCCCGGTCGGAAATTATCGCTGCAGCATGTCACGCGAGCACCGTATCCGCTTCCGCCGACGAATGCGAATTCTTGAAATCATTTTCATGGATGACGATCTATATATAGTACTATTATTATAACTGCGCGCGGGATAAAACGGATTCGCACTCGAAAACTGATTTTTTATGCTACCCCCCACCCCCATCACCCTCAATCACTGCCATATATCATTATAATATAATGCGTGCCGCGTTCGAGTGCTCCTTCGTCGTCGTTGTTGGCCCTTTTTCCACCCCTGTCGTGGACCATATCATATCAGCATCAGCATCATCGTGTACCGCGATAACTAAGAGCAGTACCTATAGTACTTTTATCTATATTATAATAAATATTATAGGTATATATGCGCATACCCACCTACGACACGATTTAGCACTGATAATATTATATTACTTATTACATTTTTTTTTTTGATTAAAACGCGGCACTCGACCGTCGACTGAATTATTCATCGCGTCGAAACGGCCGCGTGTATGATATCACGAGTCCCCGTTCCTCCGCTCCCCGCCTCACCACAAACTCAAAAATTCAAACCTAACAAAACGCGACCATGGAAAGGTATGAAAACGGCGATCAGTCTTATAAACGTATACGCTATATACTATACATCATCATAATATTATTTATACGTAGGTACCTATATATAATTACAGAAAAAAAAGCGGGCGATATTATCATTACAACGTAATTCTTTTTCTCCAAAATATTATCTCAAATATAGCGTCACAAAATATGTTTCGTTTTCATCCGTCTCTAAACACTCCAATAATTATTATAATAAAGATAATCGCTCTCTCGCTCAAATCTGTGTCAGTGTGTATGTGTGTGTGTGTGTGTGTGTGTGTGAGTGTGTGTGATTTTGTGTGTATTAGTATAATATTAACACTAAGTAGAAAAAAAAATAAAGTTTTGTCAAAATGCATTTGCTATAAGGAAACAACGAAACAATGACGTATACACACAATATTATTTTCGGCGGCGGCGGCATTACGGCTTTGAGATTTTGCGCGATTTAATACGAAAATCATCTGGCGGCCGTCTGCCGCAGGAAGAGAAGACTGACGGCGACCACTACCATGGTCAAGGTGGCCCCGACGACAGTCGACTCGTTGACCTCGTTACACGGCTTTTCGCCTGAAATATCAAAACAAAAAATATTATAATAAAATAATAATACAATTACTTAAAATTGTCACATACATTTTAAAACATCATAATATACTCGTCATTATTCATCTTAACACTGTTAAACAAATATTTGTATAGGTATCATATACTAGCTGTCCCGCCCAGTATTGCCCGCTCATAGGATTTGTTTTTTTTTTTAAATTTAACTGTAAAAAAGTATATTATGCCATATTTCTACTAATTTATTATAATAGGTACCTATAGTAATATAATATGTAAGTATGTAACCAATGGCAACCATTTAAATAAACAAAAAAAATATTCTTTTTTCGTGAACTGAAAAAAATCATGTGTGAGGTACCCTTTAGCTACCTATAGAGGTTGAAAAAATAAGCTTTAAACGCCTTCCAAGTTTCAAGAAATCTATTGATATAACTTTTACCTCGAACGGTCAAGTCTTTCAAAAGTTACACGAACAGTAATAGAAATACAGAACAAACGTCATATTATATTATTAGGTTATAAATATAATATAATATATTGTACACCATTGTGATATTGTGTCATTATTTTTAAAACTGTGATTTTTCCTATCAACTTCTTGTTTGATCAGTAGTATCTATATATTATATATTATAGTAATGCCCTGTAGGTACCGATAGATACCTATTATTTTAAATATATCAATATTGATATCGAGAAATATCGACTTAATTAACCATTATAATAGGTATTATAACGCTATGAATATCCTTAAAATAATGTCCACATTTCGTAATTTCGAATACTTAATAAAGACTAAATTTGTTTTTGATTTAATTTGATTTTTGTTCCTATTGTATGTATCTATGCAGGACAGGGGGAGGTTTTGGGGGTTTAACCCCCCAAATACCAGGTACAAAAAATAAATTATCTGACCTACAAATGTATTACTAATAACATACACAATTTTTTCAAACCACCCCACCCCCCCCCCCCCCCCGAAATTTTTTCCTGATGCAGGATTATCTGGATTAATTTCAAGTAACTGAAGTTTTTCCAAAATCAATGAACTAATCGGATTCAAATATTAATTATTAAACCTATTATTGGATCGAAAAAACTGCATTGGATCAATAATTATCTATTATAATATGTACTATAACGTCTATAACAGTACAGTAATCAGCAGGGCCGGATCTAGGGAGGAAAATCGGGGATTTAAATTTGTAAATTGAAAATGAATTTTAAAACAAAAGTCAAAACTAGGTACAAAATAATATATCACAGGAAATGTGTAATATTGGGTATGCGAATAAAATATAATTATTTTATTTTAAATCGAGATAAGTAATAATAACTAATAACATTGATTTAAAAATTAAAAAGAACAATTAATATGAAACAGGAAGCACCCGTCCGCAACTGTCAGTGGGAGTGTACACGCCTTAGTCTATCATAGATTAATGTACTCTCCGATAAGTGACATAATAAAGTATGGTAAATGACATCGTTTTCTTGCATATGATATATTATGTAGATAGTTATTTAAAACTTAATCTTAAAAATGGCACTATTGTAATTCATTGTTATGTAATTTTAAATTAATAATTATATATTTTTTCAAATAGATACTGCATAAAATTATGTACTACCTACGTAAAATGTTACTTCAGTAGATTTAATTGTTTTCAGATTATTTATTAAATTACATAATATTCATAGGCTTATAAAAGTCTTTATATTTAACAAATGCCTTTTAATAAACTGCACTTTTTTATAAATATCACCATAACCACTAGATAAATGTAACAAAACACAAAATAGGATATAATTTGTTATTTGTGTTTGATTTTTAAATACAAGTAGGTATACAAGTATACAACTATTAATTTTCTTGATAAACTCGATAGTACAAAAGTACAACATAATTAAATAGTTAAAACAAAAATACTATCCTATTGATATGTAGCCCAAGACAGATTGAATATTATGTCTTACATATTATATTAAAATAATTTAAAAGGAAATTTATATTCTATTTGGTTAATTTTTTTTATTATAAACTGTTTTTTTCATCCAATTTATTTTTATAGTTTAAGATGTCAAATAGACAACCGGGTTCTTATTATTTTGGAAATTTATAAAATTTTTGTAATGTAGTTATTTTAGTATAGTTTATCGTGTTATAATCAGTACATTACAATTTTCAGTAAGTACATAATTACATTTTTGTTTCATTGTATTTTTTTCATACCTAGGGTACATATTAAGTTTTGATAGTAACAAATATTAAAAATGAAAAATGTATAATATTGTTATGTTGTAAATGAAATATTGTTCTTTTACGTAAAGCGTTTTATATTAAAAGTAAGCAATGGTACCTAATTTAAAATTTGTTAATAAATAATTCATACGTGTTATTATTATCAATATAATTTATTCTAAACCTGAAACTTAGAAATATTGACCACAGATTTTACCTTTAAATACACCATTCAGAAGAGCTTCTAAAACTATATTACTAGATTAGTTTAAAATTTAAAATGTTTCATTTTTAAGTTAAAATTGTTTAAATTATTTGTGGTAAATAAATTATTGGTTCAATATATTGCGAAAGGTTTTGTAAATGTTGGTCCTCAGTTCCTCGCAATACTGTGTGAGTGGGCTTGATTAATACTAATTCTGGTCATCTCCCCGAGTTTGGCGTATTTTTTTTATTTTCCCCGGGTGTTAAAAAGCTAAAATCCGGCCCTGGACTAATCAGTACGGAATATTTGCCACGATATCGATATCATATTCAATATTGGCCATCACGTATGTACGATGTACCTTATATTACAATAACGCACATCTTATCAATTTTCGTAGATGAATTTTCAACATTTCATTGGATACCGAACCCGATGGTTTGTGCATAATAATAATATAATGATATACAATAATAATAATATTGTATTGAGTTTTTGTCGTCAACAGTTCGTGCCGGGTGTATTATTATAACGGCGGTATGCGTTTTTGTGTTCACAAAGACGGATTTACCACTAAGACTTTTTTCTACATCCAGCGGCAAAGTTAAATCGAGCGAGAATTTTACGACCCGGGTAAAACGAATACAATTTTTTTTCTATCACATTTTTCGGGTAAACGGATACCGGGCGAATACAGGACCGTCGCGATAATGTTTTTAAGGTTATGGAAAATCGTATAGTAAGTCGTAATAATATCATATCATGTATTATATATTATGTCTTACCGCCGCAATGTACGTGTATAGCGGCCTGAGGTGATTGTATGAAAGGCGATAGAAATAATAAAGAAAAAAAAAAGTAAGGAAGAGAGAAAAAAGTTGCGACTAGAAAAAACGAGAAAAAAAGGACGTCTCTCGTAGGTTATTACACTCGGGGTGGCCTATATAATATATAATACCTATGTATTCATACGACGAGAAACGAGAATAATCGGCTTATAGGAGTTTAAAACGGGATAATATGGGTCGGCGGGTCCAGTAGGAATTCGCCATTCGTACGCGCAGGCTATTGCGGTATAACTATGGCATATTATACCCACGACGTCTATAGTTAGGTGTTACCCCTACTGCTCTAAAAGCTCTTCCCGAGGACACGTGCGGTTACGAAACGACGATTGTAGCGGACGAACAGCACGAGAAAAATATACCCCGGACAGTTAAAGGACAGCTGCAGTGGTATACTGTGGTATATCGTATACGTAGATATTATAATATGTATACAAACCATGGCTGCGAATTGAAAGCACTAAAATTCCGAAATATGCATCACAAAATTAATTAAGTCGATTCATGATTTATACTTTGAAAAGTATACCTACCAATAATAGAAGTACCTATGTGTTTAAACTCTTAAGAGAATATGAAAATAATTGGTATATAATACGAAAACACCAAATAGAAAGCCTTCATACTACAATAAAACGTATAAAAAATGTGTTTGGTATTTAAAATGTATATTGTACAATATTATATTTAAGTGTAAAATGCCAAAGCAATCATTTTTTCTTTAAGTACTTATATAATAAAAAAAAAATTGTACTCATTTATATGCTCTACTATAATGTATTATATAATATGTAAAAATATGCAAACTAAAATTTTGTACTTAGTATAGTATGGTAATGTTTTGAATAAAATTTGTATCTCACTTATTTTGAATTTAAGAACGAAATTCATCAATAATAACCACGTAGTATAAGTGCATAACCACTCGCGATACCGATGCGCGTAAGTCACGATCACCATGGCATCTCCATTATTTATTTCATTTTTTCCCAAATGTAAATTACCGGGAAGAAAATTGTGCATTTACATTTTTTCACAGTTGGTGCGCAATTGTATATTCAGTTATTTTCGAGTAAAAAATGTAAACGTGTACAGACGTCACAGCTGTAGGTACCGTGGATTAAAAAATAAAATAAAAAAATAGCTATTGACATCGAAGACCAAGCTGTGAGACAGCCCACACACACATAGTATTTTCCATTTGAGATACGGTTATGTGTCTTTTACATTTTTTGTACCTATATTATAACGTTACATCTGAAACATTAGACGGTTATGACGGGGTATATTATAGATTAACCGGACTTACCGGATGGCGATAGCGAAATGTTAAATGACAAGACGAGCCCTTCGTCGGACCCAGTGGCCGTGGTGCGGTTATTGTTGGGGTTGCAGTTATCCGCGTACACGAACACTTGCAGACGGTCCGGAGGCCATTTGACGTATGCAAGACAGTACAGCTTCTTCCAGCCGGCCGCCGACGGCAAGTTACTGCTGATTATCTGGTGCATCGTGTCGTTATCTTTCCAGCCACCGTGACACTTGTAGGCTGCAAAACAAAACCAAAATATTCTTTTAGGAAAGGCAATCGCGGACGACATAAAACTGGAGTCTCTTTCCACTATAATATTACAGGGATCTCAAAACTGATTTATTTGAGGGCTAGGTATAAACAAATTGTACTCATAACAAATTGATACGGGTTGAATAATATAATAAATAATCATATTTATAATTTTTAGTTTTATGTAATATTGCTGGGCTAATCTATATAGTTTATACCAAATTTATTTTTAAATCGTATTTTACTGGACAGTTGGTGCGACCGGTGTATTACTATTTTATTCCTCGATATTCCGTGGATAAGAGTTGGGTAAAAAATACTATGCTGAAAATGTGTTCCGTAGGGTACCTACTCTAAAAAAGTCCACATGGCGATTTGGATGAGTAGCATGCTACCAGATATTTTTCCTCTGTATAGAAAATTAAGGAATCATAGATATTATGTTTTTGGGTATAATGGAGTGGAAAGATAATATATAGTAGCATGCTACATTTTGTTAGGAATTTAATCAGATATTTTTTGTTTTTTTTTGTTGATTTGTGTTTCTATGTAAATAAAAAAAATGGTAACGAAAATTACCTCGCAAAAATTGGTTAGAAAAAAAAGTTGTACCCGAATTTTAATCTGTTTTAAAAAAATTAGCATACTAGATATTTTTCCTCTGCAAGAAAATTCGAGGATTCATATAGATATGCATTTGAGTCTCTTTGAAAATAATGCAGTGAAAATGTATCTAGTATGTACCTAACATGCTATACTTTGTTAGGAATTGAATGAATTTAGATTGATTTTTAGAATATAAAAAAAAATGTTCAGTATTTTCTTATGTTTATATCGTAGATTTTTTATGTGTTGCTTGTATTTTGATAAACTAATCGATACAATAATATTCTTGTTCAAATCATCTCGTTACAGTCGCTTTAGTCCTGCATATCACGTTACAGATTAAAATAAAGTTTTTTATTGTTAATCTGCGTTTCTATAGCTATATGAACAAATTCGTTACTCAAAATCGGCTAGAAAACACATTGTATCCAACCCAAACACATATTATATATTTATATATGTTAAAAATACTTTTACTATTTATACATATAGATAGATATAAATGCATTTAAAATAATAAATACCTAATTCAATGTTATTAACGGTTACATAATGCCATTGTTAAGAGAATTGTAAAGAATACCAAATTTTAACTTATTGTATAGTGTATTTTCTCTGGATATTAAAATGATATACTGCAGTCTTGTTAATATTGGATGTAATAATATGGATTTTCATAAAAAATGAATATGATAATTTTATAAGTTGATTTTGGGATTATTTGCTGAAGTTGGTGGGCCAGTAAAAACTTGTCTTTAAGCCATGGGCCATAGCTTGCCGACTTTAACACTATTAAATAGTACGCGGTATGAGTTTATTGCTTACAACTAAGGGGCGATTCGAGAAAACGAGAATAAAATTTTTCCCTCACCGTTTCGAAAGATCGGCTATAATATTATGTTTTTGTAAGGAAAATCTGTTCGAAGATGTGACTATAATAACTTACACGATAACAGTAACTTATAATAATTATTGTGTTCACATCATCGGACGATTAGCTATTTAAGGTAAATAGGTACGTATAAAAATTACTTGAGTACCTATCGGCACTATCATTGTATAATGTATACGACTTATCAGTTATCGATGGCGATAGTATATATTTTTAAAGTTTAGTAACTTAGAAACTACTTAATCAAATTTAAACCGATATACATCAAATTTTAAAATAAAACTCCTTAACAGCATGTTGAAAAAAAAATCTTCATAGGCGAATATTGAGTAAGTATGTGTTTTTTGAATTTATTTGTATGGAATAGAGATTGGTCAGATTAGGTATAGGCTTCAGATAATGGGATGAAGATACGTTTGATCTGCAGGACATATACCAAATGATTCGGTAATATTCATAATCATTTAACCTTTGGAACTACAACTATACTTCTTTTCAAAAGAGAACCGCTTTTGCGCACGTCGAATGATTCGATTGGTGCGTCGAGAACTACGTGATCACGCTAACAGTGGGAAATTGGTGGGGAATGCGCGCCGCCGGACATAAATTGGTCGCCGACCGGTATATTCTCTTTTGGAATGGAGTATAGTAAGGCTGGTTCTATCACAATGCTAATAAACATTGTAGTATACCAGTTACAGCCCAACAGAGCGTAACATGCCAAATATGATTACCAAGTTTTAGAGGGAAAAAAAATAAAAATAAGATCAAATTCGTCAATTATAGTTAACCGATTATAAATCAAAGAATCAATCTCAGTTTCAATCTGTCTAAAAGCTGCTGTATTACATCCCTATAGTATAATATTTAAACTTAATTAAGTGATCGGTATCGTTCGTTTTTTCTCTCACAATTACCGGTACATATTTTCGATAAATCTTTTCACGTTCACCATGGTTATAATATTATTATTATCATTATATATTTCTATCGTCCAATTGGCTGATGAAGCAGTCATAGTAATTGAGCCAGTTTGCTGTGTGATCGGTAGAAATCCACATTAATTTGAATTTGATTTGCTAGCGTAGTGCAAACTTTAATTCGAGCTATACATTCGATAAAATCTGCATATTAAATTTAGAGTAGGTAGTTGAAACTTTATCGTCAGTGTCGGGTGTAGTATTGCAGACCATTCAACCAAAATTAAGTCGAAATATCGTCGTGACATTGTCAAAAGATTCGATAACGATATTATAATCTATACAGGGTGATTTTTTTATCGAAGAACACTCATTATTTCAAAAAGTATTAATGTTTAAGAAAATATTTTTTTACATAGTTTCAAGTTGTTAAAAAACAATATTTTTATTAAAAAATTATATTTTTAAATATTTTTTATCCTTTTAATTTTTTAAGTTTTTTATTTTTTTGAATGACAACATCTAATTTTAATTTGATATTCAAAAACAGAATATTTTTCTGAGTATTTCGATACATAAAAATTGAATTTAGGGCAATTAGTTTATGAGTTATAAGTATTTAAAGTTTTGATGAGCGGAGTAGAGTGGTACGGGGTTACCCCGCGAAATGTTTGTCCTCTACTCCGCTCATCTAAACTTTAAATACTTATAACTCATAAACTACTTGCCCTAAATTCAATTTTTATGTATTAAAATAATCAGAAAAATATTCTGTTTTTGAATATCAAATTAAAATTAGATGTTGTCATTCAAAAAAGTAAAAAACTTAAAAAATTAAAAGGATAAAAAATATTTAAAATATAATTTTTTAATAAAAATATTGTTTTTTAACAAATTGAAACTATGTAAAAAAATATTTTCTTAAACATTAATACTTTTTGAAATAATGAGTGTTCTTCGATAAAAAAATCACCCTGTATAATATTATATTCTGCTCAGTAGGTCCATAAGATTTTTTTTTTTTGAAAATTAAAAAACAGTAGGTATATTATGATATATAAATACGTCTAATTTGTCTTTAAGATATTAATATTTTGATAGTCTTCATACATTTGCCAGTTGCCATACGTAAGTAAAGTACCTATGTAATATGCGATCATAAATCGTATCGATATATTTTGTATTGAGATTATAACAATGATACCAGAAACCAGTATCACCAGCTCGCACGAATAACCAGAAGGAAATAACTATACTACTGCACCCCTGACTCGATCGTAGTACACTGCTATAAATGATAGGTAATAATATGGAGACCGTATTATATAATGAGCTGTAGGTTAAAATCTCTTAAGATTCGGTGATAGGTGATAGGTCGACGGAATTTAACCAGTTAAAACAAAACGGCACGCGTCTACTTGTATATAGGTATTAAATTACTATTATTATTGTTATTATATGCACTCATATAGCTGGCAGTGTATATAGACTTTATAATAATATAAATTAAAATATAATATAGTTCCTTAACGTCGACTGCAAATGTTGATAAACCGTCTTCGCACGACCGTCTCGAGTAAATAGCGTCGACCAATTTTATCGAGAAGCTCTTGCAAGTACCGTAATAATACCAACTCTAAAGTTTCGACGAGAAATGGGGTATAGGTGCGTAACTGCTGTAGTAATTTCACGCAATCTCCTTACGTCCACATTAAGCTTAAAAAAATCTGAATTCCGTGTGACTTAACTTCAATTTAGCTCTCTTTGAAATCGGGTTTCATGAACAGCGGGCCAAATATAAGTTGCATATTAATATTTAATTGTCACGATTTGCAGGAGAAGGAAATATAATATTAATATAATAACGTGCTATATCGATCGTATATTCGTATTGGTTCGAACATTTTATCTCACCAGATTATGCGTGTAGGGTACCTACATTTATTTGGTCTACGATTTTTATGCAAGATCCGTTTAACAGCAGACGGCGAGTATCAAGCAACAAAATGTGTCAGCGAAAGATCAAAGCACATAAAACAAGAATCGATATAGTAAATATTATACTTCTTTTTTTTATTATTATTAACAAGAAGTCATATCGAAGTCGGGTCGTTTACGGTTGTGCTACTCTGGTAGGTATCATATATATCGCCTGTAATATAATATATTGTATGGCAAACATTATATATCTGCCCAGTGCCCATTGTGATTTGTGAAAATACCGACCAGTTATCTGGGTGAACTGTATTTTGTTAGTACGAAATCGGTTAATATCGGCTTTAATTAAATCAGTATTACACTACTATCTATATAAATTATAAAAAAATATTAACTTTGCACAAGTATTAAAACGCCCTGCGGATAACGCATACGTCCTGCAATAATAATAATAATAATTATAAGTATTGTTATTATTTCCCGATAGTCGATTGAAACGATAACAAAAACCTATATATCGTTTAAGCGGCTTCGGTGCTTTGTGAAACGCAAAGCTGTGCGACGACAACGCTTAGTAGGACAATTCAAACGGTGGTGGTAACCACTTACCACACCACTGCAGCTCCCGT